TGTGCGCGGTATCATTTGATTTAATGGTTTTAGAGGTAGCAGCGCCCTGGCCGGTGCGACTTGGTCGTCAGTGTGTTCGAGCCCTTAGACTGTATTTCGTTTTTACCTTGATTATGGTTTCCTGTTCCGTTTCTTTTTTTTGCCTAAAAATGTTATTATTACAAAACACGGTTCCTGAAAAGAAGCCATCATTATTCTCACCAAATTAACCAGCGCAAAAGGCTGTTTTTAGTTCGTTTGTCAAACCGTCAACTTGTGACGATCAACACACTGAAGGAAGCTATAGAAACTACCATTAAGGCTAAGCAGCACCTTGAGGACTGTACTACAGCACGAAGACTGTGGCTAGTGGTATATAGCAAAAAGATAAAACTACTACTAGAGCATAAAAATAACCTAGTACCAATAATTATAGGTGTCATCACTGGAAATTGCCCCACGTGGGTAAACCTTGTGAAATGGAAGATTTCCAACGACGACTACGGCAGAGAATGCGGAGAGGAAGCAGAAATAGTTGAGCACCTGCTGTGCCACTGTCTGGTACTGGAATACCGACGCTTTAAAACTTAAGGACTTTTGAGGTCTTTTGGAAGGATTAGAGGAAGCGGCAGAAGCCAATATCAGCGACATCAGGAACTTTGCAAAGAGCTACAAGTGCTTTAACGCAAATAAAGAATGGAAGGAAAGTTTGGTACAATGATAACAGGGGTATCGCAATGGACCCAAGGCCTCCGAGTGAGGGATCAAACATATCCCAAACCCCATGAACCGAACCTAACCTAACCTCCCTAATTCTTCTTGAATAGGTAGGTGGCTAAGTATGTTTTTTTGCAGCCCCGGATCTACAATTTTTTTTGAACCGGATCAGAAACTTGATGGTAGCGTTTTACTTTAAAACTTGTGAAAAGTGTTTTGAAGATATAAGTGTTTTGGAAGATATAAGTGGTTCAGAAATGTTCACATAACATCTGTCAATACTGTAGTGGGTCTACTAATAGGACACTGAAAAGTCAATAGTCATTTAAAGCTTATGAGGTTGATCGAACCATGTGCAGATTTTGTTAACCAAAAGAAGAATGGCTAAATACATTTTATTTCACTGCGATCGCATGGCAAATGTGCAATTCATTTTGCCAGACAGTGGTAAGCCACTGGCAAATAGCTATATGGAAGGTGTTACCAAGTTATTAGTGTTTTTGAAGAGGATACGACCGGAGAATGTAACTTAGAGATCAGAAGAAGACTGCGACAGATTTGTAAAGGTTGCAGTAAAATAGCCAATAGACATATCAAAAATCTACTTTAATCAGAAAAAGTATGACCTAATGTTCGAGAAAACGCTCCAAGTCATTTTTTTTTATTCAATATATTTACTCCAATCTTTTGATTACAGTTGAGGGTTGGAACCTTTGGTGTTACACAGCAAAATAAAAACACTAAATCACCACAATACACCAAAACACTTTTACTTATACACTGGACGCGCGTTTCGCTAACCATGTTAGCATCATCAGCAGATGATTATGATGATGCTAACATGGTTAGCGAAACGCGCGTCCAGTGTATAAGTAAAAGTGTTTTGGTGTATTGTGGTGATTTAGTGTTTTTATTATATTATAAACTAATATAGTTTATACTCATCTGCTGATGATGCTAACATGGTTAGCGAAACGCGCGTCCAGTGTATAAGTAAAAGTGTTTTGGTGTATTGTGGTGATTTAGTGTTTTTATTATATTATAAACTAATATAGTTTATAATCATCTGCTGATGATGCTAACATGGTTAGCGAAACGCGCGTCCAGTGTATAAGTAAAAGTGTTTTGGTGTATTGTGGTGATTTAGTGTTTTTATTTTCCAATCTTTTGTTTAAATATGATGGCACTGGTAGTGGTACAATTGCCTGCATATAGTGTAAAATAGAATAGACTGTCATCCACTCAATAAAATAACTCATCCACTCAGTAAAATAAAATAGACTGTCAAATCCCTCAAATGGCTATGGGCAGAAAACATGGCAAAAAGAAAGGACAACAGATGGACCAAAAATTCGTACCCACGAGGAATTAAAAGATCTAGAAGAAGACCGAACCTGAGATGGGACCATGATATTAGGAAATTAGCAGAGATAACTTGGGCCCGTATAGCCAACAATAGACAACAATGGGCCAAAGTACAAAGAGAGTTGGAAATGGTCGAATAAGCTGAAGATGGTGATGACAGTAGACTGAAAATCTGGTATAATAAAGCTTTTTTCACTGTGTCACTCTCTTCCTGTATAAAGTTTCTATTTAGGCTGAAATTTAAATGTTACAACCATAGCCATAATAAGCAGTGAAAATTTACTACAAACTCTAAATTCAAAAAATTAATTTTTGTATTGATAAATGCCATAAAAAATAAACATAAATTTTCATAAAAGCTTGCAGGATATTATTTAGACTAATAGAGTGGTATGTGTTCTTCGTGTGCGTAAATCGATGTTCAAAAATCGTTACCCTTGACTCTTCAAGTTTGAACGTTAGGCTAGCTCGGCCGATTCGAAGCGTTTGGCGCTGCTGGTTCCGTGGCCTAAATACCGACGGACGTCGATTTCGTAACAGCCGTAAAACGTTTATAAACAATAGATCATGCCTGAAATGGCGCGCGAAGATAAATCATCGACGCATTCATGTGGAAAGGCTGTTAACGGCGCTACACGCCGCTCTTTACGTAGGCCCACGCGAGACACACTGTCACTCTTTTTAGGCTCCCCCTATAGATGTTGATGTAGATTGTATGGGAGGGGGGAAGTTAATCACCGTCACTTTATAGATCTATCGTGTCCCCTTTCTTGAGTTATAACTTATCATACAGTCTCAGGGCTTTGACAAAAGCCAGTATCTATGACGGTTATACAGAGGTTAGTTATGGCACAAATGGTTGTCGTCTCTGCGCACTCAGTGATTAGGTGTTTTGGTGATTTCTCATTTTCGCCACAGAATCTGCATTCGCCGTTTCGTTTCGCATGTTTCTTAGCATCAATCTAAGTGTTGATTGAGGAGACAGTATGTCTGTTAAAAACCCCGGGACAATTCGAAGATTGTTCTTTGATATTTCTTGGTGGTAAGTCCTGAGACAATGATCTACCTAATCGAAGCAGCATTTGCAAACAACTCAGGCGAGATGATACTCAAGTTGTATAAGCCATATATTAGACCAAAGACTGAATATGCACAATGCATGGAACCCCTATCATACCAGAGACATTGAAATATTTGAGCGTGTTCAGCGGAAGGTCACTAAGACAGACGAGGAATTTACCATACGAAGATCGACTGAAAAGGCTTGGTCTAACAACTCTTCGTGAAGGAAGAATTCGTGGCGATCTCATCGAGACCTTCAAGATCACAAGTGGCTACTATGGATGTGGCATGAACATCTTCCATATCAGTGAAACGCACAACATTAGGGGACATAATAGAAAATTGCTCTTAAGGCGGACCTTCATTACAAATAGAGTATATGTATATTGTATATAGCTGGAACTGTGTATAGCTGAAACAGGCTCCAGTATGATACAGTGAATATGTTTAAGAATAGACTTGATGTGGAAATGAAGAGCTGGAACACTCTTTTTATTCACTGCATGTAATCGTAAACTGTGATGGTAATAATAATTAAATAAGGATTTTGTTTAATTAAATGTAGGTATAACAATATTTATTTATTTTTTCAACTGTGATAGACAATAAATGTGATTATGCGATTCAATAGTCTCATCGTGTTTTACCCGCCTAATATCGATTTTTGTAATAATAATAATAATAAATTTCTTGGAGTGTCTTAAACCGTTGGAGGATTCTCATTCTAGGTTACGGCTGGAGTGGTCCAGGTTCTTGAGTTTCACTTTAAGCTGGTTTCCACTTGGAAAGCAGAACAGTTCTGGTCCAGTTAATGGAGCGTTCGTTCCTCTTCTAGCTAGATCGTTTCCTTTTTCATTACTCTCTATAACTTGGTGGGCTGGCACCTAGAGTAGGAGGACCTCATTTTCTCTTGTCTAATTTGTTCAGCTTCTATAGACATTCTTTGACTAACTTCGAATTGGTAGTTACTAAGGTGATCGCTCTTAAAACTGCTTGACTATCGAATAATATGGCTATTTCTTGTGTCCGATAGTTCCTATCTAAGATAAGTTGTACGCTTCTTTCGATAGCGTAGATTTCTGCCTGAAGGATGCTGGAGTAGGTGCCCATTGGTTCGGAATATTTAGTTTTTGCCCCAAATACTCCTATCCCTGTTCCTGCTTTGGTTTTGGAAGCATCAATATACCACGTTATGGTATGGTATTTTATTTGTGGCATAAGAACATCAGAAGGTGTAGGAACTGATGGAGTACTAGGACTGAAACAAGGAATAGCTTTAGATTTAGAAAGGCTGAAATAACAGCAGTCCATTATTATGTGGACGAAACAATAAGTCATGAAGAAAGATATAGTCCAGATGCCATCCTCACAGATATCCAATGCACTTGATTACGCAGATCTCAATTCTATAGGCTCGTGTGACTTTACCCAGATCTGAATTCTATAAGCTAGTGTCCAAGCCTTTTCTAGATTTCAGTTTCAGTAGTGAAAAAAATGGATTATTTTAAGAAATATACTGGCCCATCACAACGGTATAAAAATTATTTGAAATACTACAATTGAATATCTATAAATATTTTTGCAAATCTTATATTTAAATAAAAATTTAATGCAGTAATTATCAAATTAAATATTATTAAAATATTTACTTAGTAATAATCTATGATTCATATTGACATTAAAAACAATAATTTTAACAATTGGCGTTGTAATTTCAAGACACTTTAGCGAGTATTTTAAAACAGATAAACCAAATACATATATCTCAAATCGATATATTTCCATTCCATTCAATTACATAAAAAATGTACTATTTAATTCAATATTTGCTAAAACAGATATTTATATATCAGAAAAAAATAAGATAAATAAGTATCACTCTCAAGGAACAATGCAATTTAAAATCAGTCTTATATTATACATCATCGTAATAACACGATATGAAATTAAAAGTGCTGTTTTTATTGTTTATTTCTTCTTCTCTGTGTACAGAAGAAGATTTTGATCCATTTTCCAATGATTTCGTTGATTACATCAATCAGAAGCAGTCTAGATGGATAGCAAACAGATCTTTTGATAAAAAACAAATACAATTACTGGAAAATTTATTTTCTGGTGATAATGAACCAAAAATAACTGTTGAATTTACTCCTACAATTCATAATGAAGACGAAGAACTTCCTGAATCGTTCGATGCACGAGAAGCATGGCCTGATTGTGCTGACATAATCGGATTCATCAGAGATCAATCTACTTGTGGGTCATGCTGGGTATAAAAATAAATTAAGTGTGTATATAATGGTTAAAAATATGTTTACAGGCTTTTTCTACAGCTGAGGCTATCTCTGATCGTATCTGTATCCATTCCAACGCTACTAGGAAGGTGTTGGTGTCGGCTCAAGATATACTGACTTGCTCTAGTGCTGGGGGGTGTCATGGGGGTACTTCGGTGTTAGCTTGGGAGTACTGGAAGAATGGATATGTGACTGGGGGGCTGTATAATGATACCAACGAGGTACTTAATATTATATTCATATTCTAGATTGTTATAGTTATTCTTTAGAGATAAATAATACGATGAATAGATTTTCTATTTGATTTTCTTTTGTAAGCTTAAATAATTTATATTTAATAATGTAACGTATTTTAGGGTTGCAAATCGTATTTTTTGCCCCCATGCAATGACCATATGAACAATTGCACGAATTATGTGGATACTCCGGAATGTGTGAGTCAATGTGATGACTCAAAAGTGGATTACAATCAGTCAAAAACGTATGGACATCTGAGTTTTAGGAACGGAAGTATCAACGGAACAGTGAAGCAGATTCAGTTGGAAATTTTGAAGAACGGTCCTGTACAGACTACGTTCACAGTTTACGAAGATTTCGCTTATTACAAGTCAGGTAAATTTAATTATATTGTAAAGTAATTTATTAATGTATAATTTTACAAACAAATAAGTTGTTACAATTGAAACGCATAGCAGGAAATAAATTTATACAGGGTGTTTTATAAAATATGACCATTGAGTACCTAATCACGATTCTGCTTAAACTGTTTGACGTTTAAAGCTGATTTTTGGCAAACGGATTAACTATGGGGTGTAGAGGTTCGATAAGGAGGGGTTTCTCGATTGTTTTTTCTCATGCTGACATAAATGTGAGAAAATTTTATCCAGTTTGTATGTTAATGGAAATTCTTGCTTTGCTTTATCATCACCATTACAAATGATTAATTCGACGCGAACGAAGTCGCTGGTACACGCTAGTTGGTGTATAAAACTCTCTGTCTGGGCACCGAATACTAACTATAAACTGTGCTCTGTGTCTACAGTTAATTTTCTCTCGATTTTTCCTCCACTAAATTTCAAAAGCCACAAAACACACGTAATTACACGAATCAAAATGCATGTTCTTCAAAAACGCAAGTTATTTGACATAGTTTGACACAAATTATAATCTATAATTTGGCAATGCTTTAACAGGCCTCAAAAATCTGAAGCTGAGTTTATACGCATCTGCGTCCGTGCATCTTTCATATCGTTGCGTCACTCCAATAATGTTAAAATATGATATGTCATTTTTGAAATAAACCATTAAAACTGGTTAAAAAACAACAAAAGACGACACACGATGGATTTATATATAAACCCATCCATAGTTTGGAAATGTTTAAAAAAATGTTAGAATTTTTTTTGTAAAATAAATAGATTGGTATGGACGTCATCTGCTATTTTCTGTCATCGTTTGTCGAACTCTTACCTGAGAAAAAAAAAACAGAGTACCTATAATGATTGTAATTGCCTTCCATTTAATTTTGACTTCTTTCTTTAGGAATATATCAATACACTGCTGGCAAGGAACGAAGCCGACATGCTGTGAAAATAATAGGTTGGGGCGTGGAAAAAGAGGTCGAATACTGGCTGATCGCCAATTCGTTCAACGCCAACTGGGGCGAAGACGGATTCTTCAGGATGATCAGGGGTAAGAACGATTGCGGAATAGAGGATGTTGCAAATGGAGGATTGCCAGATTTTGATTTGTTTTGATTTGGAATTTAATAAATAATAGTAAGAAAAATCCAGTATTTTTTATTTTGGGAATTTCGGAATTCCATTGGCTATTTATTTTAACTTACACAACGTTTCGGTCAGATGTATGATCACTGACCATTTTGAAGTGTGAACTAATCTAAATCCTAAAACTACTAAGTTTCTACTAGAACAAGTCATTCATCCCTGACATTATTATTTATATAGCGTATGGCTCTAGTACACATAAATTCACATGTTACTATCACTGTAAGGAAGCTGTAAATATACTAATAATAAGAATACGAACAAAAATTGGACATGTCAAACACAAAATGTAAAAAAGGAAAATTCAAAATATAGTACAAAACAAACTTGTCACAAACAAATGTCTAGTTTCTAGTTCAGTCTACATCCCTTACAAAATCGAAGATACCAGCATTATTGGTATCCAGAGTAGGAAGACTTTATTTTCTTTGACTAATTTATTCAGCTTCTCTAGTCATTCTATGCCAACTTCGAATTAATGTTTACTGAGTTGATCGCATTTAATCCTGCTTGGTATATCGGATAAGGTGGATATTTCTTGTTTCCCACTATTTAGTAGGTATTAATGGTATGGAGTGTATGTCGGAATACCGTTAAATAGTTATTAATAATTGTTTAATAGTTATTTATTAATCTATTTATTTATCCCAAAACAAAAGTCCTGTAATTACATGAAATATACAAACAATATAAATAATGTAATTCAAAAAAGAAAAGAAATATAAACATACCATTCAGTACCTACCAGTAATATTGAAGAACAAAAAATAAAAAAAGTGGTTCAAAATATCTATATAATAATATTAATATTTCTTTGGAGTTCAAACTGCAGGGGTGTTTTGAGATACACTAAAAATAATGGTTTACCTATAAGTTTAATATTACAAACACTTAACTAATATTATAATTGTTAAAAACAAAGAAGGTGGGGTTTACAAATAAATTTTAAAAAGACACAATATCTATGCATGGGCAACAAAGGACAAGACCTAGAAATGGAAAACGGAAACAAAATAAAAGCATGTATACTGAATTCACGTACCTAGGTACTAAAATAATAGAAAAAGCGACAATACCATCAATAACAGAATCAACAAAGCCAGAAACATTACAGGGGCACTAAATTCTATTCTTTGCCAAAAAAAATATAAATACCACAACAAAAACCCGCATATGACACTATAGTTAAAAGCACACCTACTTATGACGCTGAAGTATGGCAGATGAGCAAGTCCAGGGAAGGAAGCTTTTAGCAACTGAAAAATCATCTGAGGAAGTAGATGATCGGCATGAAAATAAAAATTGGAGAAAGTGCGAAATGAAGAAATATATCGAATAATCAAGATCGTATATTTCAATAGCATGATTCATAGTTACTATCGTTCACGAAATCCGAGGACGTCGATTCGTCGTACAAGAATCGGTCTGAGCTGGCGAATCGGTATATTTATGCCACATAATGACAGTAGTCGGGGTTAATCAATGAAGTTATTAAGAATTTTGAAAATGAACATTATTGAATAATACTATCGTCTAACTTCTTATGTATTTATATTAAATTAATTTCTCAAGTCAGAGGAGTGGATGTGGAGGATATGATAGTTGGGATGTTGTGGAATAATGCGTGTTACCTGAGCAGGATTCCAAACTACAGAAGCAATTCTTAGTTATAAAAATAACGATGAATTAACGGGCGGGTCTGGGAAAAAACGTATCGTAATTTTAAATCTTTGATACATACATGGCGTATATTTTACACCGATTTGTACACAGTACTTTCAATTAACAAAGCAGACGAAGACTCAGAAATATGGCGAGACCTCCTCTCTAGATAATCCGCTCTCCACAAATCAAGCGGCGCGATCTTCATTCACTAGATTTCCATTTAACAATCCTCGTAAAAAATGAAGAACCGTATACTCTGCGCATTTGCATATCTTTCTTCCCTCCTCGCGCGATCGATTTTATTGGCTCGTAATATAGCGGGGTGTTTTTATCCGACATGTTTACTGCGGTGTCGTCGAGCTACCGCGAAAAACCGCAACGCAAAGACTAAAATGTACGAATGTCGGGTGGTCCAGAACCAGTCGGTACTCGTATTTTAATTCGAATGAATTTGAATGTCCCTCGATAAGGACGCGGTAAAGTAATGAAATACAAAGTTAAGTAAAAAAAACATGCTTCCAAAACTGCAGCAGTAACAGTGTAACAGTCCAAATTTAGCTTTAACTAGGTTTAAAAATATATACCAATTTTGCTTACAAGTTAGATCAAACTCTTATTTTTATGCTGATAAATAAATTTATTGCATTTAATTTTTATAAACAAATATTCATTACAGCTATATTTCATTATCTTTCTTACTCTCCTTTGCTTAATTTATTCTGCTTCCCATGCCATATATCAGTCAGTAATCAATCAGTAATGATCTAAAATATAATTAAAATTTATTATCTTATGCTAATATAATCAAATTCACCAAAATATTACCTTTAATTTCTGGACTTATTTATGTTTCTGAATGTTAGCCTATCTGCCGTAATTTCTAGTAGTTCTGCGGTACTGCTTGCCCTTATATTATCTTAGAAGATTTATTATCAAGTGTGGATTGTCTCTAAAATATTATTTGATCCTATATTTCATTATAGAGCTCAAAATGAAGTTATTTACCTGCATATTTTTTGAAATTTATCATTTGTTTATTTTCTGCAAATTGTAAGGTTAACAATTATTATTAATAATGTCATTTATATTTGAATTGCTGTGTATATATTGACGCGCTGTTGTCAGGTCGAGCAGTACTTCCTTTAAATTCTGATGTTTGTATTTTCTGATAATTATTGATTGCATAATCGACATCCTTTCCGTAATATTGTGTATGCATCGTCACCGGCCGCGGCATAAGGTTTGGTATGTTTGTGTTTGAATGCTTATTGGAATTTACTTTTAATTCTAAGTAATGTTTATTTTGGCAATGTTACTAAATTCCCAGAATATTAAATTGCAACTTTGCAGTATAAATCAAATTTCTTCGGACCGGAACTCTATCTGATCGATGTAGGTTTCCCATTTTTCCCTTCAGCTTCAAAGCAGGTGTTTTGGTCAGTGTAATTTGTTGGAATTTTCCTGTTTTACCCGTTTGTTGGGGATAATCACTGACTAGAACTATTATAAGGGATACTTTTGCTCTTTGAGTTGTACCTTACCTTTTAAAAGTATCTCTGAGCCGTTTTATACGGGATTATAATCTGCTCGTGGCTGGTAAGTTTTTTTTGGATCGCCATTTTGTCTAGTGTGATTTTTACTATTCAAATTATTTCTTAACAGGGAAAGCCTTTTGTTTTATTTCTTTGTCATCGTCGATTTTCTTGGGAAGAGAAACATAAAACCACCACCTGTTCCAGTAATTTCTGCTTTCTGAATCCAGCAATTTGAAAAAAACAATCATCCATTAGAAAAAAAAACTACATTTTTTGTGAAGCCCAGCAAGGTAACTTTTTATGACATTTTCTATATTTCTACAGTTGCAACGTGTTTTGATTATTTAATTAATTATAGCTGTGTTCCTTTTGATTAAAACTATCCCTTCTAAGTAACTTTCTTTTTATTTTGTAAACCTAATACCGCTCTCGGTTTTAGGGCTTTTTAGACCAGGATTTTCCCACCAGGATTTTTTTGAACCAGGCTTTTTAGACCAGGATTTTTTTTTACGAGGACTTTTCTACGAGGCATTTTCTGGCTTGCTTTTTCTGGCAGACTTTTTCCAGTACGTCCCTCTGGAAGTGATATCCTTCTGAAGCACTCAGCTTGGCAAATACGTCGCTGGATCAGGTCGGAAGCAGAGACAAGTAAACGTTACTGAAAATGTTATCTTCCCCAATTTGTTTTTCCTTTTCTTACTTACTTACTTCTTACTTGGGCCGAAAACTACATACTCCAAACCAATGGAGGCATACCACAGCATCCTTCAGGCAGAAATATACGCTATCGAAAGATGCGTACAATTTATCTTAGATAGGAACTCTCGGAAACAAGAAATAGCCCGAATAGAATCTTATCCGATAGTAAAGCAGCATTAAAAGCAATCAACTCAGTAACCATCATTTCGAAGTTGGCCAAAGAATACCTAGTGAAGCTGAACAAATTAGGTAAATAAAGTAAAGTCCTCCTACTATGTGTTTCAGCCCACCAAGGGATATAAGGTAATGAAAAATCAAACGATCTAGCTAGAAAAGGAGCGAACACTTCCACTAACTAGACCAGAACCGTTCTGCTTCCCAAGTGAAAACAAAGTTAAAGCAGAAATCAAGAACCTGGAAGGTTCAATCCGTAATCTGGAAGGGAATTATCCAATAGTCTAAGACACTCGAAGAAATTTCTCCGAACTTACGACTGAAAAAAATCAACTATTTTCCTGCTTGTAAGTAAAATCTTCAGATTGTTACGGGGTATTTAACAGTACATTTTCTCCTTAAACCTCAGTAGATTGAAGCTGAGAAACAACTGCGAATGCAGATTCTATGGGGGAAAAGGGGAAACACCAAAGACATTATAAAGGTAGACCGAACATCTCATTCATAAATACTTGTTGGTAGTGTATCAAACATTCCAATGTGTCAAACAAGGACAGAAGAGACAGAGAAGTCTAAAATTTCCGACCCCGGCAACTAGGCGCATTTGGATTGTTCTAATGGCCAGTGGCGTATCGTTTTTTGGAACGAATTTAATTAGTAAAGTAAAAGTTAAGTAATTAGTAAAATTTTTACTCCATATTAATATACTACATTAACACTTTTTTGTCAGATGAGTTTTGTTATAAGGTCTAATATAATAATATAATTAATATCCCACATATACTTATGTTGAAACGTTAGTAGTTTTCGAAAATCGCTCCAACGTCGATTTTCAATTTAAACTTTCAGTTACTTCTATATAAACTTTCAGTTACTTTTGAATATTTACACGGTGACTCAGACGTCCGAAACAGTTCTATATTAGGTT